AACATAGGAATACACTACTTCTGAGCACTTTGTGAACTACTGTGCAATTATTTATTGCTTTGAAAAAGTTTCTTTATAACAAAAGTATGTGGACACTTAACAAAAAACAAATGTATCGTGGAAAATAGAAGTTGGTTCTTCCTCCAGCGTTCACTATTACTTCGAACATTCTGTCTGGCATGCTGTGGACAAGATTTGTCATGGTGTCTTCGTCGATTTCCTCCCATGCAGCAACTACCGCCTCCTTCAAGTCTCGCACGCTGTTGTACTGCCGACTGTTCATGTAGATTCGTCGAACCATGATCCCCACAGGATTTCGGTTGGGTTGCAGTCAGGAGAACACGCCGGCCAATCAATCACTTTGATACCATTGCGTTGGAGCCATTTTCTAGTAGAATTTGAAACATGCACGGCGGCGTTGTCCTGCTGCATCACATGTGTCCTGCGTCGTGGCCCGCTCAGAAAAGGCAAGAGGTTAGACTCAAGCACTCCTTGGTATTCCTGACTGTTCATACAGCACGATGGGAAGGCAAGCTCCAACTTTCCTCTGCTTCCAAAACCACCCCGTACCATCAAAGAGGCGCCTCCGAAATTTCGTCTCGAGAACACCAATCGCTACAAAGGTCTTTCCAGTAATGCTGATATCCATCTGGACCGTCGAGATTGACTTTTTCTTATCAGTGAAGATAACCTAAGAAAGAAATGCGCATAAGATGTTGCCTTTCTGATTTTACAAATATCTCAAGAAACTGCACCTTGTCCCACGACGTCGCCATGTTTGCACGCGCAAAGTTCAGTCTTGCCAGCTGGTGCTTGGCAGTCAGACAGGGAGCTTTCTTCATGGTCTCTCGAGTGATGTGCTCACTTGATCGAATAGAGCCATATTGTCATTTTTGAGACCGGTAGATTCATCGCGGCATGGATCTGTGCCACAGAAAGCGGGGAGGCCATTCTTCTGATGTCTTTTGCGGACAAAGATCGTGGGTGCCTCGAAACAGGTACTGAGTGGTAGCCATCAGGATTCTGGAGGTATATACCAACGCACGTCGCCGAAAGTCCAAGCTGTCTTGCAATTTCTCTATTCGAGTGTCCTGCAGCACTGAAAGCTCGAATCCGAGCTTGTTCGTCTTCGTAGAGAGGACTACCACGACGAGGCATGAGTACAGGTTAATGGGGACTAGAGACCATAAAAATGGATTGCAGATCTGGAGCCAAACTTTGGACTTCCTCAGGTGTCCACATACTTTTGTTATTAAGAAACTTTTTCAAAAAATAATTGTACAGTAGTTCACAAAGTGCTCAGAAGTAGTGTATTCCTATGTTTTCGCTTATGAGGAATTCAACAATAAAGGTCTCATATCGCAAAATTCAAAGGCAATTTTGCAGGACAAAAATTTGAGGTGTCCACATACTTTTGTTACGCACTGTAGTTGTCTTATATGTTCAGGAACATACAAGATTGGA